TTCGGTCCAAGCAGAAGAACTCTTGCCATGTAGTGTTTCGAGTTGGCTGTTGAACCCCCTTCGACGTCTATAGTCCGCAGAGACTTGGTCAATGATGGAGTATAACTCCAAGATGAAGCTGGAAACTTCTGGAGAAACAACAAGCAAATCAACTGCATCCAGAACAGCTCCCAGACAAGACGGGGCAATAGGATCCCCCTCCAAAGCCTTCATTAGATCCTTTTTGAAGAACTGAGCCTTGACCTTCTTCAAAACCTCATCAAGAGGAGAAGTCGAAGTAGACTTCCCTGATGCAGTAGAAGCATCATGACTAGGGTCAGATGAATTCTCCCTACTCTCAATGATGGCATTCAGGTAGCCAATTGGATCAGTTTGCTTCAAAAGGGCCAAGTCTTCTTTAGACCTGGGCTTTGTCGAGGTGGTCGTTCCTACAACAGTGGTGGCTTGGGGCTGAGTTTGTTCAGTAGCGTCAGCATCAACATGACCCTCTTCATCATGTTGCTCCTCTGTCTCATTGACCACTTGAGCTTCCTCTTGCTGGTGTTCCTCTGTTTCAGCAAGGACTTCATCATCCACCAGTTCCTCCTCTCGTTGTCTACTATGGTCAGCAGAGTCTTGTGGCTCTGAAGTTTGATTTGTTTCGTTAGCAGAACTGACGAAGGAGGAAGGATGGTGAATGGGTTCCCCCGCGCTGTTTACAAAGGAACCGGAACCCTCTCCAGGATGCCCAGTTGGTGCTGAAGTTCCAGCGGTCTCCTGAAAATAGAAGAGGAAAAATATTCTGGTTTAGAGAGATACACAATCGAACGTGATCGTCGGCACCTAAGTTAAAAGTGGTCGGAGGCACTACCTGTAGAGGAACTTCAGCCCCAGGGCTAGAGTTATCACTCTCAACGGGTTTGCTGAGCAAGACGTTCAGCTCCTCCTCCGTGGGCTCTTCGATGATCACAGGAGGTGGCCTGGATTTTTTCCCTGCGACCTTGATTTTGATCGTAGGTCGAGGCTCAGGAGCAGGGGCAGCCTTCTTCACCTTTCTCCGTTTGAGAGGAACAGGGGGAGATTCATCCTCGTCGCCACTCGCAAATTCGACCGTTAATGCAGGTCGTTTCTTAGGCGCAGGTTCCTGAAACCCCCAAATGGAGTTGATTTAGAGCGCAACATTGAAAACCAGGATGTTAAAACCAGCAGGAAACAAGAAAAATTTGGTTACCTGTGCTGGAGGTTTTGTAGAGGGACCTCCACCCTGATGGTTGTCTGTGGCTTTCTTTGCCACAGGTTTTCGAACAACTGAAAGAAGACACGTTCACAAGTTATAATTGACAAGTTATAAGTCGAAATGGAAAGACAAATATAATTTGAAGAGTGAACGTACATTTCTTTATTTTGTCGAGAACCAAAACGAAGGACTTCTGGAGTTCGTCCGCAAAATCCTTTTCATCGAAGAATTCTTCGACATAATAACTCTTCCACCAGTCTTCAAAAGATGGTGAACAGAGGAAGTTGAGTTGGTAGTCGAACAATGAAAGTACAGTCCGACCAGCGTACCTACCAATGTGCTTGGTAGCAGCATCCTCAGTGTAATCATTACAAAAGTACAACACTGATTTCTCCCTAGGGTAAATGGGAGAAGGAAGCGATTGGATAATGCCAAACTGTCGAGAGACAAGATTTGGCTGATAAGCAATCAGGCTCAGATGATTCTTTGAACTCTTGAAGCGCAATGGCATTATCCTGGGAGTGAGAAATGCTTCCCACAGTGTTGTGTGCTCTTCGAGGTGAGGATCCTCTGATGACTTGGGATGGGGCCTGGTGAACCACCCTGGACCAAACTTTCGACGGGCGAAAGGAGCCATGGTCGAGGTAAATTCCTTCCTCCCTGCAAACATCTGAACGAAGTTTGCAAAGGTCTTTTGGAGTTCCAGCCCATCCTCAGTGGGAGTCAGTAAAGCCAGCTTGGTACCTTCGATACGCCTTATGGCTATCTCAGGAGCCTGTTCGTTTATTTGAGCCTTCTGGGGTAGAAAAGACTCAAAAGTGGCGTTTAGCCATAGTTGTAGTAGCCAGAAGGATCCAGCGAGCAGCAAGCTGGCTCTATTTTCTATTACCTTTAATAGAGTCGCCCCACTGCTTATCGACTCATATAGGTTCGCCAGTATTAATTCGACCAAACAGATGTTTTGACTGTGATGAAGCTGAGTAGCAAGGGTGACCATTTTCTTCGTCACCTGTAGAGATTTCGTGCAGAACACGAAGCGTGACAGCCAAAGGGCTAGAAACGCAATGTGCTCCACGTCCTTCACCACAGCCGTCGATTTGTCATGATAGTGGTTGGTGTAGGTGGTGTAAGTAGGTTTGGTGGCTGAAAATCCAATCTGGTCTTCAGACATTTCCTCTGGGTCAAAGTAATCCCCAGTTGGTCGAAGACCAGTAATGGCAGCCACGTCGAAGAGAGTGGGTGTTACCATTCCACAAGGCAGGTGGAAGGTGAAGTGAGTATAGTCCCAAAATAGCAAAGAAGCTACCAGCATTTCAGGAGAATACTTGAGACCAGTCTTTGATAGCATGACTAGGTCATAAATCCCCATGTTCTTCCAAATCGAAGCCTGGCTTTTCTCCATCTTGTCGAGCCAAGCGTTGTATTTTGGTGTAAGGCTAGGGCTAGACCTAAAAGCCCTAACCCCTCTGTTGAAGAAATGAAGGTCTATCTTTTCTTTTACAGGATCTTCGTTATCGTCTGTCGCCTTTTTGGAGCACCCAATGGGCTTGAGTGCCTCATGCACGGGGAAGAAACCCTTGATCTTCGTTGGGTCAGCGATGCATGCAAATAGAGGACCAGACATGGCGAAAACCTGGTTGGAATATCCAACAGGAATCAGCAGTTGAGAAGAGTAAGTCTCACGCTCAGCATCTCCCATGGGTTCGGGAACCCTTCGCATTCCCATGGAGTTAACTGTTGGAGCGGTTGAAAAGATTGTCGGTTGAGCAGTTTTAGAGGGAGTGTTAGAACTGGGAACATTGGAAGAACGAGAACCTGAAGCCATTTTTTGGTTTGAGATGAAGATGGATGAAGAACAAAGGTTCTTGCAGAAATTTTTGTTCGACTTAAGGCTTGGATGAAGGAAAGCGTAAAGAGTCCCACGAGGGGCACTTAGTGCTATTTATAGTGATTGGAAAATCACAAGACTCGAGGTCATTTAATGTCTCAGACAAGAGTTGGGCACGTGGCGCTCATTTCTGCAGAACGGAAGCAGTGCAGCGTGCGTCCTCGATTTCGGGGAATCGTCATGATGACAATCTGTGAAAGGACATTGGGCGTGCCAAACGCCTTACTGAAGTGACGTCTTAGGAACAGGTGGAATAATGGCTTTTTGAGATTGTCAGTTGGTTGGTAGGAGGCGAAAAGCGCACAAACTAATCTGTGGCTAAGAGTGAAGGACAGGTGTCGAGTGGAATCTCAAAGAATGCCTTTTTCTTTTCAGCGTCGAAATAAGACATTCTTGGGGGGCAATTTGTTGGCTCCTAAATTCGACACCCTTGTTTGTTATCAATATAGACCATTAATTATGAGTCAGAAGAATTTCCTACATAAGAAGGCTTCGACCAGCTGATCCTGTCGAAGGCTCATCAGAGAATGACAAGGTACTTAGAGAATTTCCTTTAAGTGAGAATCTTGTCGTCTTCGACGTCGAAGGAACCTCTCGACAAAGGTACCTGATGCTCAGGGTCGAACGGTTTGAGATTTGAATGCTTGGAGGGAAAACGGTTCCCAGCAGTTACCAAGTGCAACGTGCCGAGATCAGGAGCGTCGAATGCTGTGAGCGTGCCATGTGGCGTCATCTCGAAGCGACGTAACTGTCCAACGGTTACTTAGGATTTGTTTTAGTATAAATACTAGTTGTTCACGTAGTTTTCGAGTGTGTTCATCATTTTATACAAGTCACTCATCTAGATTCGAGTACCCAGTGTGAGCGAAAGAATCGTTGAGAATGTATGTGTGAAACACCATTTAAATTAATCAAAGTCTTTTATATTCAAGCACTTTATTGCTTTTCATTTACTCATCTTCGTCGAAGCCTTTTATTTAACTCTTTTATTTATTCTATCAAGCTTTTCTTCATGCAATTTACTTAAAGTGTCTTTACTTACCGGCATTAATCACCATTAGGATTAGTCAAACTCCAGAAAATCAACCATGTCTTAGGATCAATCTGATCGATCCTGCGAGTCACCAAATAAGTAACCTTTTGGAAGATCAGCGGTTGTTTTCCAATTTCCACGGTAAACAAATTTATATTGTTTGAGCTTTGTACAAGAGAAATAAAGACATAGACATAATTTTTCAACTTCGCTATATCTAGTTTCTGCATCGTTCAAAACTCTGCTAAGATAGTAAATGGGTCTTTCGACTCCATTTTCATCTTCTCTGCTAGTTTCTGCTTATATTCTTCTTTATCTTTTTCTCTCTTTTCAATTTCTTTCCCGCAACCATTAAGGTAAGATTGAAGTCCGAGTAAAAAAAGAAGGCAAAGTTGAAGTCAGCTCCAACTCTCACGGAAAAATAGAGGAAGATTTGAAATTATTCTTCTCAGCCATCTCAATGAAAAAGAAATAAGAACAATATGTCCTGGTACAACTTTTTCATCATCGCTTCTGAAGAAAAATTAATCATATATTCAAATAATTTTTTACAGAAGTTAAATAGTGTCATTTTTCTATTAATATGTATTCCTATCACAGTTTAATATAGCACTTCATTAAAATGCATATTAATCAACTTAATGTTTTTTAATTATTTAAATCCTTCATATTAAATAAATTAAAAACAATTTTTTTGAGTACAAATTAAAAACAAAATAAAATATCTAAATTATGACAGATACAACTCGCCCACTTTTCCATTATACATGATTCCATAACTCAACATTTTTCTTCATAATGTTTCCTTTCCTACATAAAGGGAAAGGAAAATTTTCAACATTTTTCAGCAAGATTTTTCCAGGCTAGGCATTTACGTCGGGAGTGCGCAAAAGGATGATGGAAGAGTAACTAAGCATGGGATACATATTGGCGTCAAGAAAATGAGCATACTGTTGTATTGCAATATCTCTTCCAAGAAGATCGGGCGTGAGGAAATCATATGGTGCGGACTTGCTGGTGTCTACTAGAGGTTCCCATCTGTATCCAGGACGCTCTGGCAACGTAATTGTGAAAGGTAGATGACTCATATTGAAAGCAATGTAGATTTCTCCCTTTACCGAGTCCACCTGAGTTGTGATTTTCATGCCAAATAATATGGAGTATACAAGCAGGGGTTACTCAAGAAGACAAATAAGTTCATCGTATAGCAGCTTTAGTACACTAAAAGAGCTGAAGGGATTGAACATTTTAGGGGAAAAGGATTAACGGTAAAATGTCCAGGCTCAGCTAAACCTATATTTCATACCACGTGACACCATAACATAAAACTGTTAAAACATTTGGGGCACTTCAAAACAATGGCCGAGAATAAAATGCTTCTTTTTTACATGTGCACAAAATAGAATTGGAGACGTAGCAAACAGTCGGAATATGAGATCTAACATTTCTCGAGTCAACATGCATCTCAGTCAAGGGGATTTCTGTTCTAACCATATAATTATGTTGTCCTTACAATAGCCTTATCATGTTGATTATTCCCAAACCCAGCTAGGCGTATATATACTATCTCAAAAAAGGCTTTCTATTGTCGCCAGAAGTAGAGTTGCTTTAGCCCAATTTGTATTTCAACTTTGTTAGAATTAAGTAAATCCGTAGATCTTTTAAATTGATGGTTAGTATTCCTTAGTATACAACTTCCTAGATTAGTGCTTATTCATTAGGTATTCAATGTATTTATTGAAACAATTATAAATACAAGTTGTGTGTTATGAGTAGACATAGAAATTACAGAAGTAATATGGTATCAGAGCACACACAACTTGTACTTATAATAGTGTAACTTTGTAAGAGACAAGATTCTTTCAGGAAAAATCACAATTAATTTTGTTGGTTCAAATAATCAATTGGCCGACATATTTATTAAATCTTTGAGAAGGTCTCGGGTTGAGTCTATTTGTAAAGTTTGGTGCATATGACATGTATGCTCCAGCTTGAGGAGGAGGGTAGAATTAAGTAAATTTGAAGGTATTCTAGATTGATTGTTAGAATTCTTAGAATATACAACTTTCTAGGTCAGTGCTTATCCGTTAGGTTAGTGCTTATCATCGGAAGTTTATTTCAACTTTCTCTTTCCTGAAGTGCTTATCATCGGAAGATTATTTCAACTTTCTTTTCCTGAAGTGCTTGTTGTTCATTGTCAAACATGTAGGCTCATCAAAGTTTGGTCAGTGCAGATAGGAAACGTGTTCTAATTCTACATTTTAGGTAAAGATCATCCGAAATAGATCCTAAGATGTGATTCCCATAGCTTTTTACCAGTAACAGAGTTCATATATCCCTATGTCATTGAGTATGGGCAACGTACCAGGGTAAAAGCCACAAAACGGCTAGTTTCAGACCAGTCTGGATTTACAGGAAAATGACCATGCCACTGCAGCCTCTCTGATGTTGGGAAGTCATCTAAGCCAAGCGATTCACATTCTCTGCAGAACTACAGCGTTAGTACATGCAAGAAATGCTAGAGTCCAAGAAGAATACAAAAAGTACTTACTGGCGAAACTTGATCAAAAGGCTACAAAATCTGAAGAAGTCTGATGAGGATTCTTCCTTTTTGTCCCATCGGAAATAATTAAGCTGCAAAAAGGATGAAAATAAGTTAATGGAATTGACAATACGGTGGGATGTGCATTGAAAAATTCTAGTAGATAAGAGGATCACATAATTATCATGACAGTAGGTATTGTTGTTCCCCCCTTTTGTATGTCCATATTCATCACCCATATGTATCATCGGAACTCCCTGGTTAGATAAACTAAAAGTCAGTAAGCAAACACGTGCTGTCTACAATATCATCTACATTTAAATCAGAATAATTTAATGAATTTAACAACAAAATTGATACAAATTTATTAAAAAAACTATCATTTTTGTTAAATTGACTGGGTCTTACCTGGGAAACCATGAGAGAGAGAAAGAAATTACGCATTTGTCGTTTCCTCAGTTTCTTTACTGAGGCACTGACAAACTCCCCCTCCTACATTAATTTGAGAAATGAAAAATATAAAATCATTTAACTTCCATGTAAGTAGATTAAGATTCTAATGAGGGAACTATTTGAAGGATTCGGAAAGTGTGGTGCGCCGTGCCCCTTTAAGCAGTATTTAACAGAGTCCAAAAGTGCTTTATATGTGCTAGCAAAAATACACACATGGGAGAAAATAGATACAACGTTCTAGGCACAGTTTAAAAGCCTAATTCATATTGATTTTTAGATGGTATCATTAACATTGTAATATTAATTATATTCAGACTGGTCGAGTAATATTGTGATGATGTAACACCAAGCAGTAAGAAACAAAATTAGAAGGAAAAACTATTTTAATGCAAATCTGAAGCAGGTTTCTAAACACCTACCTCTCCACAGTTCCAGCTATTATTATGATTTTCTCCGTCATTATTATCTTCACCATTGGGCAAGTTATGCTTGTTGTTATAAGTCACCAAATCAGCTAGAGTGAAGCCATCATGAGCACATACAAGGTTAATACTATTCCATGGTTTTCTTCCTCCCTGTGCCAAGAATATACAGTAAAGTTCTCCATGCAAAAGAACAAAGAAGAACTAAATAGGATATCAACAGAAAACCAAGAGCATTATAATTTAGCTGAAATAAACACCATCCTTGACAATAAAATATACTTAGCAAGTTCAAAGACAGTGAAAGAGGATGTTTAAATGTATACATAATACATTTGAAATCAATAAGAAAAACAGTTTAAAAGACAATGATTAAACTAAAATAATCATCATATCAAAATAATATAATAGAAGGGGGAATTAATATCCAAAGGAACTGCTACTGCTGTGTGACATAAGACAACAATAAACCTGATACAAACTAGGACTCCCACAAACACATTCGGCAAACGCTCCAGCAAAGCCATCTGTGCCCTTGATAAACTGGCGTACTGTGTCTCTATACTGAAAAATCCAAGAATGGCACATTAAATTAAATAGCTCCTAAATTTCACAAAAGTGCATTTATAGCATACAATTAGGTTGCAGAGACTTTGCTTATACGGAAAGTAATGAACTACATAGGGAACATGAAGTGTAGAGGAAAATAAGACTAGTCAAAGTAAATAGCCTACCGACTTCGGTTAAATTTCAGCATTTTAGCTTGCATAAAGGGATTCATAAAGATTCTAGTCAGTGACAGACTCATGTTGAAGTGTGTGGGCTGGTGGTGCCCCCACAAAGTTATGAAAAAGTCTTCATAAACATTACTAACGAAGATTACTTATTTTACAACTTATATTACGTAGATTACTTATTTATTACATTCATTGAATGAAAGTTTTATTAACCTTCCATAAAGATATTATGTGGCCCACTAAGAAAAACATAAGCACCCAGCTTTACACTTTCATTAATGTAATATTATATTATGGTGTAAGACTTTAGTCAAAATTATAAGGGAATAAATTTTTTAATAAACTGAGGCAATGAAAAAATATGTTCTATATTTTTCATTTATTTATATTAGAGTTATATACTATCATCCAGAGACGGGTCCAAGTTGTGGGTTGTGTTGATAATGGTCTACACTTAATTTTGAAAAATAAATTTTTTAATACTTAATACAATAAAAAAATGATGTGACAAAAAAATCTATATTGTAAATTGTTTTTCCACTATTTTTTTAATTTTACTTTAGATTTTATATATGTGAGATAGTGTTATAAAAGTCATTAAATATATGAATAACAAACAAACTTAAATGCTTCTTTTATTAGTTACTTTGGATTTTAAATATTTTCAGTTAATTAATTTAGTCTTTAAGTATATTTTTCACTAAACAATTTGATCTATACATTAATAATAACAAAACACACATTTGGTTGTGTTTGTAATTTTGATAAATTCAAATATTCTAGTGGCGATGCAGCATATGTTATAGTAGTGACAGTGTGTTATGAGTCCATTGAAGCTATGCTACTACATCCTTGCATTTTCCAGTCACATCATAATAAATAAGTTTATGAATCGAACAATTGTATGTCTGCACTAACCTTCCCATTCCATTCCGACCAAATACCCCAGTGAGGAAAAGTGCCAACTTGGTAGAGACCTCCAGCATCCCAGGCTTCGGCTATAAGCTATAAAGGAGAAATCAAGAAACATAGCATATTTAGCTTACTGCTTTCAGACAACTGAAAACTAATCTATATTTTAAATCAAAATACTTTGAGGGATGCCCGAGTCAAGCTGCCTCCTTGTCTACTGTCGTTAGGCGGAAATCAATCTAGGTGAGGTTAGAAAATAAACAGCACCTAGAAGGAAACACTACCTTAAAAGACATCCTATTATATGCAACTATTCAAGCGCCAAAAGTGAAACTAGTTAATAACTACTAGCACCATGTGCCTGATAGGATTCAACTGATTATGATAGGAAGATTTAGGATAAACTGAAAGAATGAAGAATGCAGGGCAATGCCGCCCACTGTAATTGAATGCAAACTGGTCAATGCAGCCGGAGGATGCAATGAAGCAATCAATGGTGGGCTGCTTAGAGGGGTTCCAGTTGTAATTAATTTAACAGAGCTATGTAAGTAGAAAAACCTTCACTCCTCGAAGTATTGGATCGTTACTGATCATATCAATCAATGGTGGGCTGCTTAGAGGGGTTCCAATTGTCAGCATGTCGCCTTCTATTGGAGTACCAAATACATTAACTCCGTTCCAGAGACTGGTAACAGAGGAAATGAAAATAAGTACAGTAAGATGCATCATTCAATTTCAGTACCACCTACTAATGCATTATATAGTATCTAACCTGCTACCCCTGGTCATGATGGAAGCAAGATCAAAGCGAAAACCATCAACATGCATTTCTGTTACCCAATATCTGTTGCACGAGAGAAAATTAGTAAGGTCTTCAATCTTATATGGCAGCAACTTCTAACCCCTTGTAAATAAAAATTGAAACAAATCTGACCAGTGTGCAGTGAAATAAATTTAAAGAATATACAATTATATACTAAATTATATACTAAAAATATAATGGAGCAAAAGACATAGCTTGTTAAAGTAAATTATGCTAGAAGTCATATGCTACAAAATATAAAATCATTAATCATGGATCTAGCTTTTATATATTCTCTGAAGGCTTTAGGTAATTGTCCCACATACACCACTACATATGAAATCTGTCGTAAAAATATGCATGTAAGTTTAGGGAGTGGCAATGTATACAAGCATGTAAATGCCAATAGACACAAAAAGTCAACAATCTTTTGATAACTGGCAAAAGGTTTTCAATTGAGAATTGAAAGAGACAATATACATTAAGGCACTGTTTGGTAAGCCACATTTTTGAGCTAATAGCTTATAGCTTATAACTTATAAAGCTTATATGACAATTTAGACCTGTTTGGTAACAGTCTTTTCTTCACGAGTTTATAACTTATTTTACCGACGCTATTTCAAATAGCATTTTAGCTTATAGTTTATCATTTTTTCTTCCACTATTAATAATTATTTTAACCAAAACCCACTTTTATCCTTTATAATTACTTTTAATTTTAAATAAAATAAATATGTATTAAATGCCTTTATGTCATTTTATATTTATAAATTAGTTGAACCGTTAATTTTATCAAACACTTCAATTAGCTTATCAACTATCACTCATCAACCATCAGCTATAAACTATCAGCCATCAACCATCAGTCATAAACTATAAGCGATTAGCTAGTTTATCAGCCAACCTCTATTTTTACCAAACAGAGCAAAGGTTTAAAATGAATTATTTTAAAATTAAATACTTCATGAATAATTTTTTTATAAAAGCATATCCTTGATAATCATTGTAAACATACCTTAAGCAGTCCACTATGAATTTCCGTACAACTGGATGGTTGCAATTGAATGTGTTCCCACATCCTGAATAATTATAGAATTCCCCCTAAAGACATGAAAGTGGGCCTAGTTGACATTCCCCATGGTTTAAAAGAATCAAAAAACGAAGATATAATTAAATTTGAAAACAGCCAAAGAACCATTAAAACTCAATCTGCATACTAAGCACAAGCCTTAAAAAGTAAAGACGCGTATTTTGAAATAATAGTGTCGGCTAACAAAATTTTCTGGTTTGCAGAATGGATGGTATTTAATCCTGATTCTTAGCTGTTATCATGTTGGAAAATAGAATTTGGTATCCTCTAGTGTCCTCTTACTTCAGTATGCCCAATGCGGTTGTTAAGATCTCGATCCAAATCTTAAAATCGTAAAATTTTACGATCTCACTCACCCCTAACGACTCCGATCTCAAGTAGAATTGTGTGGTGTAGCTAAACTGTGAAAAAAATCATAAAATTGTTGATTTTGTTGGATCTTTGCCAGTTTCGGCCATGATTGGCCTTTTTCCGGCCACCGCCATTAAAAGGTGACAAGGATGACAACATGCAGAGGATGAATGTGTTCATTTGAAATGATAAAGTTTTAGAATTAGGATTTAGAGAATAAACATCTCACTTGTAGGGTTTGTTTTAACTAATTGACTTATGATAATCCTGTTAATTGACCAAATATGTCCCTAATGTCTAACAAATGTTCCGTGTGGTAGTAATAAAGTATAAAAACTCAATCATACATGTCTAAAGAATATGAAAGAGTCATTTTCTCACTAATACACTTGCCTAAATACTTAAAATATATACTATTATTTTTTCATTTTAATAGGGTCTTACGATTTTTGTTGCGATCTTAAGTTTAACAAGCTTGTCACCCCCTCTTGATCTTACAAAAATAATTAGGTAGGATCTTCCGATCTTAGCTACAATTTTATATTTTACGATCTTGCTATTCTCTCTCAATCTTATGTAAGATCTTGATCTTGAGAACCTTGCACTAACCTATAGAAGCATGATGCCTAGCCAAAATAAATAAGAACTAAATCCCAAATTACGTGTACCAAAAATAAAATATGCTAAATGGATTTATATGTATTACATATAAATAAATTTGAAAAATGATAATCGTCAACTTTTTTTGGAAAATTATGAAAAAGGTATTTTTGGTTATTAGGAGTAACTAGTCATCCTATTTTCGAGTAATTAGATTAATCTCTATTATTCTAGTTTTGTTATGGTTGTTAGGCTGTTAACAATTTTTCCCAGCTCTTTCTTTCTAGCCATATGTAAGTCATTGTATCATTTCAATTAATGAGAAATACAATCTTCTTCCGTAACTTGTTTCTCTGATATGGTATCAGTGATATCTTAACAAAAAAAAAAAAAAACTTTCTTTTCTCCTTCCTCTCTAATGGAAGACGGAAGTTCTTCATCTTCGTCTGAATCACACCATGATTCTCCGATTCATTACACAGAAGATCCATCTACATTACATTCTTCTCCTTACTACATTCAGGCTGGAGAAAATCCAGAAATGGCTTTGGTCTCACCGCAATTGAACAACAACAATTACCACACATGGAGCCGCGGTATGAAGCAAGCACTTCTTGCAAGAAACAAATTGCAATTCATCAATGGAAAATTACCACCGTTAGCGGAATCTGATCCTCTTTGTGAAACGTGGGAAAGATGTAACAGCCTTGTAATCTCTTGGATTCTTCGATCCCTCACACCTTCAATCGCTCAAAGTGTCACATACATTGAAAATGCTAGGGTTCTTTGGGAAGAATTGAAGAAACGATTCACCAAAGGCAATCACTTTTGCCTCTTGGACCTTTTGCGGGATATTCACTCTGCGAAGCAAGGTGAACGTTCAATTTCCGAATTCTTTGACTCCGTTAAAACTTCTTGGGAAGATCTTGAAGATCTTCGTCCTTTGCCATCATGTTCTTGTCAAACACCTTGTAATTGTGGTGCATTCGAGATTATCAAGCAGCAGCGAGACTCCGAGTTGGTGATTTGTTTCCTTAAAGGGTTAGGTGAAAATTACAATACAGTGCGTTCTCAAATTCTTCTCATGGATCCCCTTCCCTCCATCAATAAAGTTTTCTCATTGGTTCTCCACCATGAATCAAGCCCTACTGTTACTGCAATTCCAGATTCGAAAATTCTCTCCAGTGCCTCTGACGCCGGTCATGGTTATAATAATGGCGGTCGTGGTCCACCAAAGCAATGTACCTTTTGCACACGTCTAGGTCACACGGTTGACACTTGCTACATCAAATATGGCTTTCCCCCTGGGTATAAACCTAAGGCTCGATAGATTGTCAAAACAGCACTGTTTCTGATTAAAATCTCAATTCCAAAGTCTCTTCCACTGATGTGGCACATGACTCTTTTAACCCTCAATTGAATGAATGCTGAACAAATCGAGTAACTTCTGTCTTTGTTGGACAATTCTTCCCAATCTAATCATGTGTCTTGTCACAATGTTAACACTGCCTACATTGATCCACTACATTCTTCGGTGAATCGTCAAAATTCAACTGCTGAAACAGGTATCATTGATTCTGCAAAAGATTGTTGAATTCTTGATAGTGGGGCAACTAATCATGATACCCATTCCAAAACATACTTCACTTCTTTTCGCAAAATTAATCCTATTAATGTTTCTTTACCAAATGGATCAATTATTGTTGCAAATTTTTCTGGCACTCTTGAGTCTTCACCTTCTTTGAAACTTTATAATATTCTCTAATTACCAACTTTTAAATTGAATATTGTCTTTGTTCATCTCCTTATTTGTAATTCTAATTGCATATTAACTTTTCTTGAATCTATTTGCCATCAGGAGTTTACAACTTACAAGTTTGAAGATGATTAGACTTGCTAGACTTCTCTATGGCCTTTTACTATATTGAAAATCCTTTGCCTAAAGTTTAATCTAATTTTGCTACCATTACTCTTAAAAATTCTATTTCTTCTTTTGATACTTGGCATATTATCGATTTGGACATCCCTCAAATAAAGTTCTTGATCAAATGTGTAATGTTTTTCCTTATGTCAAATATGATAATAAATGCATTTGTTATTCTTGTCATTATGCTAAGCAATGCAAACTACTTTTCCTATAAGTTCTTCTGTTACTTTACATGCTTTTGATTTAGTTCATGTGGACATATGGGGACCTCTTTCGATTCCATCTTTACATGGATACCATAAGTATTTCTTAACTGTTAATGATCATACTAGGTATTGTAGGATTTTCTTAATGACCACTAAATATGACACAAGATCTTTGTTACAAAATTTTGTTATTCTTATCAAAAACTTAACTTAATAAATCAATGAAATCCGTTAGATCCGACAATGGATCTGAATTTCTTGGTAATGAGTTTAAAATAAAATTTGCCATTTTTCATCGAACTTCTTGTATTGCTACTCCTCAACAAAATTTCCTTGTTGAAAGGAAGCATGGTGACATTCTTAATGTTACTAGAAGCCTTCTTTTCCATGGCAAACTTCCCAAATATTTCGGGTCCTATACTTGATAAATAGATTACCTAGTCTTGTTTTGAACAACAAGTCTCCTTTTGAAATACTTTATGAACAACCACCCACTTTTCTTGAACTAAAAGTTTATGGATCTTTATGATATGTCTCTATCTTGGAACAGCATTGTACTAAACTTGATACAAGAGCTGGAAAATGTATCTTCTTAGGTTTCAAAATTGGTACAAAGTTTATGTCGTATTTGATCTATCTACTACAGAAATATTCATTTCTCGCAATGCTGTTTTTTATGAATCCACTTTCCCTTATGCTGATATCATTGACTATTTTCTTGTTAGTACTGACTCTGCAGCTGAAGATTATTCCATTTTTTGTTTGATGATCCTACTCATCCTGCAACTTGCAACATACCTCTTTCTGCTCCTCAAACCGTGCCTTCACCAACTACTGCACCAATCTCTAATTCCTCCTCTTCTGAACCTATTATTACTGCTGCTCCTCTGCCATCTCATATTCCTAATTCCAATCAAAACCAAACTATTGAAAACACCAACCTCAGACGATCATAGAGGACTACAAAAGCTCCTAGATATCTCAAAGATTTCCATTGTTAACTTAAACCTAAAACTGGAACCTCTACCACAAACTTGATGTAACCTTTGCATTTTGTATTATCTTACCACAAATTATCTCCTTCTCATCTTCATTAAACACTCTCCATATCCAATGCTATTGAACCACAAACTTACAAGCAGGCTATCAAATCCCACAATGGATTGATGCCATGAACAATGAACCTCAAGCCCTTGCCACTAACAATACTTGGTATCTAACAGCATTACCGAAGGAGAAGGTTGCTACTGGTTGTCAAAGGGTATATCGTATCAAACATAAATCTGACGGCACTGTGGAATGCTATAATGCTCGCCTTGTGGTCAAAGGCTACACTCAACAAGCAGGGGTAAACTTTCTTGATACTTTTTCTCCTGTCGCTAAATTTCACATCAAAGAGTTACGCAATCTCAAGTACTTTCTTGGTCTTCAAGTTTTGCACACCAACAAAGGAATTCACCTAAGTCAACGCATGTATGCCTTAGATATTTTGGCCAGATATTCTGGCTGACACAGGGCTGCTTCAGCCAAACCAGTTGCTACTCCCATGATAAAAGACTCAAAGCCTCTATTTGATACAACGTCTCCTCCTCATGATCCAACCTCCTTTAGACGTTTGATTGGTCGTTTACTTTACTTAACCAATACCCGTCCCGACATAAGCTTGGCCTCAAGACAAGTCAATTCATGCAACATCCCACTACAAATCATTATGAAGCTGCTCTGAGAATTGTTCATTACATTAAAGGCGCTCCTGCTCATGGTCTGTTTTTCTCCTCTGATTCTCCTGTGCATCTCTAGGTTTTCAGTGACTCTGATGGGGATACTTGCCCTGTGTCTCGAAGATCAACAACCGGTTTCTGTATTTTCCTGGGTTCCTCATTAATTTCCTGGAGATCTAAAAAGCAAACTACCGTATCTCATTCGTCATCTGAAGCTGAATACAGGGCTCTCACATCTACCACATGTGAAATTCAGTGGCTTACTTGCTTAATTATTTGCAAATTTCATTCACCAAACCGGCACTCTTATACTGCGACAGAAACTTTGCTCGACGTATTGCCATGAATCTACCTTTCTTGTGCGTAATAAACATCTAAACATTGACTGTCACATCGTTCGTCAACAACTTCAAGCTGTTCTTTTTGTCAAAACAGTTATTGTCTTTATGTATTTTAGGAAGGTTTATATTTGCAGTAATTCTGTAACAGCTGTATATCTTGCTAATTATTAGGTTTATTTATTTAGGATCAATCCCATAATCACAAGGATTTGTTTCCTTAGAACTAGCTGTCCAATTCCCTAAAATAGACTACAAGCTCATGTATATATACAGGTCCAGTGACCTCATAATAAAATAACAACAATATTATTTATTCTAAACTTGATATGGTATCAGAGCTCCCGATCCTTGGGAGTCTCTGACCGTGCTTGTAAACCCTAAGTTGCAGCCTTCATTGCTGCACTACCTTTATACCTTGTCGCCGATTTCATTGCAGCGCAACCTTCTCTACCTTGATCGCACCTGGTCATGGCTGAGATTGTGGATCCTATTCTGGAAACTGGGGACAGATCCCAGACTGCCGGAGAATTGCAGAATGTTCATTCTGCTTATCGGTTAAATGGGAAGAATTTTCTCAAATGGTCTCAACTTATTAGGACCATCTTGAAAGGAAAAGGAAAGGTCAGTCACCTAACTGATAGTGCACCTGATGAAACAGATCCCAACTTCAAATCATGGGAAGAAAAAGACTCCATGATCATGGCGTGGCTGTGGAATTCAATGGTCCCAGAAATTAGTGATACCTGCATGTTTCTTAAATCAGCAAAGGAAATTTGGGAGGCAGTAGAACAAACGTATTCTAAGGCCAAGGATGCTGCCCAAATTTATGATGTAAAGGTGAAAACTGTGGCTGCCAAACAGGGAAGCAGATCTGTTACAGAATATGCTAATCAACTCAAGTCTCTATGGATGGAATTGGACCACTATCGAGTTATAAAAGCAAAATGTTCAGAAGACTCAGCAATCCTTAAGGAGTATATTGAACAAGATAGAGTCTATGATTTTTTGGTAGGCCTAAATCTTGAATATGACCAGGTCCGAATCCAAATCCTGGGAAAAGAGAAAGTCCCAGGGCTTAATGAAGTGGTAGCCATTATCCGGAGTGAAGAAAGCAGAAGAGGATTGATGCTCGAGACCTCAATAACTGAAAGTTCGGCAATGATAGCTGAAGGAGGAACAATCATGGTTGCTAACCAAAGGAGAAGCGGGGTTCCCAACATGGAGAAAAAACATGAGGATATCTGGTGTACCCACTGTAACAAGCCGCGTCACACAAGGGAGAAGTGCTGGAAATTACATGGGAAACCCCCAAGCCGAGAATGGGGGCCGAAAGGAGGTCCTCCCAAAAAAGGAGGGCAAGGGCAAGCACACATCAGTCATGGACAAAGTGAAGGATCTGGCCAGCTGAATCATGAAGAGATAGAGCGGGTAAGATCCTTCCTTAGTAAATTGGAGAAGCCTACAGGTACATGCTCCTTAACATATTCTGGTAAGTTTCCACTTTCTTTTGGGCTTAATGTTTCAGATACACCATTTACACATTACTGGATATTAGACTCTGGAGCCACTGACCATATGACCCCTCTACCCAAATATTTCTCCACATATTCCCCATGTCCTAGCAGCAAGAAAATTTCCACAGCAGATGGAACTCTTATGACTGCAGCAGGACAAGGAGAGGTCCAAATAAACCCATCCATAACATTAAAAAATGTCCTTCATGTCCCTAAATTATCCACCAATCTGATTTCTATACAAAAACTCACAAAAGATCTCTCCTGTAATGCTGTTTTTCATAACAACTCTTGTATACTGCAGAACAAGAACTCGGGGAAGACGATTGGACATGCTAGAGAATGGAATGGCCTATACTACATGGAGGATCCTAATCTGCCTACCAATAGCCGCTCTCTCATATCTGAATCCACCATGACCAACATAGAGAAAGTTCAACTATACCATTGCCGGCTAGGACACCCTTCATTTCGAGTTGTAAAAGTGCTTTTCCCTTTCTTGTTTAAAAATTTAAATGTGGAGAGTCTCCACTGTGATGTGTGTGAGTTTGCTAAACACAAGCGTGTACCTTTTCCCATTAGCAATAAGATGAGTCCTTGCCCATTTTTTCTTGTTCACACTGATGTATGGGGTCCTGCTTACGTTCCTAATATCTCAGGTGCTAAATGGTTTTTAACCTTCATAGATGATTGTACCCGGGTGACTTGGGTTTTTCTTTTAAAACAAAAATCTGAAGTTAGCTCTGTGTTTTTTTCAGTTTGTCTCAATGATTAAAAATCAATTTGGGGTCGGTATCAAAAGAATTAGGTCTGATAATGCCAAGGATTATTTTAACCTTGTACTAAACTCTTTTTGCCAAAAGGAAGGGATAATCCATGAGTCCTCATGTGTAAACACACCCCAACAGAATGGGATTGCAGAAAGGAAAAATGGGCACCTATTAGATCAAACTAGAGCTCTACTTTTTCAAAACCATGTTCCTAAGAGATTTTGGGGGGAAGCCCTTCTTACTGCCACCTATCTCATCAATAGGTTGCCCACTAAAATCTTAGACTCAAAAAGCCCCATGGAAGTCCTATCCTCATTCTACCCACACTTGGATCCTACAAATAAACTCCAACCTAGAATATTTGGGTGTGTATCCTTTGTGCATGTTCATAGTAACGAAAGGAGGAAATTGGACCCTAGGGCTGTCAAATGTGTATTCTTAGGGTACTCTACCACACAAAAAGGATACAAATGTTTTCACCCCCTATCAAAAAAATTCTCTGTGTCAAGAGATGTCACCTTCAACGAACGAGAGAGCTACTTTGGGCAGCCTCATCTTCAGGGGGAGAATGTAAGAGAGGAAGATGAGACTCTCATGCTTCCAAATATGACATTTGGACCTGAAATTGGGACAAATGGCATTGCTGTCCCTGAAACTGAGAGAACAGCAGGACCTGCACTTGAACCAACAGCAGGACCTGCACTTGAACCAACAGCAGAACCTGCACCTACACCTGTACCTGAACCAACAGCAAGACCTGCACCTGAACCTGCACCTAATGGTGGAAAATTTGAGAAAAATCTGGTATATTCAAGGAGAGAAAAGGCCATTCTAGAATCTGGCAATGTCCAAGAGTCCAGCCCATCATCACTGCATGAGGTAACACTTCCGAATCCTATAAATTCCAATGATTCTAATGAGTTTGTTTTTGAAAATTTAGAAGCACAGATGGACCAAAATCTAGACCTACCCATTGCCCTTAGAAAGGGAACTAGAGCATGCACCCAACAACCACTTTACCCACTATCAAATTTCTTATCCTTTGAAAAATTCTCACCTACCCATAAAACCTTCCTCACAAACCTCAACTCCACACACATACCTTCCTCTGTATCTGAAGCATTATCTAATATGAAATGGAAACAAGCCATGGATGTGGAAATGGAGGCGTTAAGCAAGAATAGAACATGGGAACTTGTCACCCTACCAATTGGAAAAAAAACAGTAGGATGCAAGTGGGTATATACAGTAAAGTACAGGGCTGATGGGACCATTGAACATTACAAGGCAAGATTAGTGGCCAAAGGCTTCACTCAAACCTATGGAATTGATTACTTGGAAACATTTTCCCCGGTTGCTAAGATGAACACGGTCAGAGTAATATTGTCATTAGCAGCAAATTATGGTTGGGACCTGCAACAGTTCGATGTGAAGAATGCTTTTTTACATGGAGACCTTGAAGAAGAAATATACATGGAGTTGCCCCCTGGTTACAATGGACAGGTTGCTGCTGGAACTGTTTGTAAGCTAAGAAAGGCTCTATATGGGCTGAAACAATCCCCAAGAGCGTGGTTTGGAAGATTCACCAAGGTTATGTTAAGTCTGGGCTACAAACAGAGCCAAGGGGATCACACATTATTTATCAAACATTCAGTTTCAGGGGGAGTAACAATTTTATTGGTGTACGTAGATGATATTATAGTAAGTGGGGATGACAAAAAGGAGCAACAAATGTTAAGTGAATGCCTTGCCACGGAATTCGAGATCAAGACATTAGGGAGACTTAAATATTTTTTTGGGAATTGAAGTGGCCCATTCCAAGAAAGGAATCTTCATATCTCAACAAAAGTATATTACTGACTTGCTTAAAGAAACAGGTAAGACAGCCTGTAGACCAGCAAGTACCCCAGTTGATCCAAATATAAAGCTGGGAAGTGCGGAGGAGGATATTGCAGTGGACAAGGAAATGTATCAAAGACTTGTGGGAAGACTTATTTACTTATCTCACACTAGACCAGACATTGCTTTTGCTGTAAGTCTAGTCAGCCAATTTATGCACCAACCAAAGGAAGCACATTTACAAGCTGCTCTTAGAATTGTCCAGTATTTGAAAGGGACCCCAGGAAGAGGGATTTTGTTCAAACGAAACAAGAGTGTAAGTCTT